TATATTGTAAACTTTGATTTTAATTAAATTTATAGGCAAATCTGCTTTTATAAATCAAATTAACAATTTAATAAAAGCTATAAAAAATTGTTAAAATATAGTTGCAATTTAAATTCAAAAAAAAACAAGTTTGCCCAAATGGAATTTACTTTTGTTATAGTAAACTTTTAATAGACAATACATCTGTTATCTAAAAAAGATCTGCAAATTTTTTATAAGTAAATTTTATTATTAAGCCAAATGTAGAACACTCTAATCTAAACCTTTTTTTTACTAAGTAAATTATTCTTGGGCTTTAACAAAAGTTGTAGAGCATCAAGATGCATTTAATGGTAGTAAGAATATTAAAATCAGCCTTGTAGTTTTTGAAAAATCTTTAAAAAATATTTTATCAACATATAAAATTTTTTTAAAAAATTGATTTTTTTTAAAGAAATTTTATATATTAGCAAAAAATTTTAAAGATTTCTCAAAAACTACAAGGCTAATTTTAATATTTTTATTATTATTAAATGAATCTTAATGAGTTCTACAACTTTTGTTAGAAGCCCAAGAGTAATTTACTTAGTAAAAAAAGTTTTAGATTAGAATATTTTATATTTGGCTTAATAGTGAAATTTATTTATAAAAATTTGCAGATTCTCTAGATGAGAAATAGATTGTCTATTAATTTAACTAGTTTGTATATTTAAAGTATAATATTGCTAGTAATATACAAAAAATAATATTCTTTTATTTACATTACTTATATTATTATATGGATTAGTAAAATAATATAATAATAATAAATCAATACAAATAAAAAGATATTAGATAAAAATATTTAGTTTAAATATATTTATTATTATATCTATAGTAAATAAATACAAATAAAATAATAAATAAGAATTAAATAACTATCACAATATTCAAATCAAAAAAATGATTATTATATATTAAATTTACAAAAATAATAGATTACTTTAGAGAAAATAAATAATTATTGTAGCTAAATTAAATCAACAAAATAAAGAAGTTAATAAGAGATAAATAACTTAAAATATATTAAAAAAATAATTAAAAAATAATTAACATAATATATAATTGATTCTCACTATTACTGTTGAAAAGAAATCAATCTTGCTACAAATAGTAATTTGAAAAAAGTATATTAATAGTAAGATTTTTAATATCTTATCAAATAAATTTATTAAAAATAACTAAAAAATATATAAAAATCTATTCGTTGTTGTTATAAGTTCTAATTTAAATAATACTATTAGAACAAAACTTATAATATAACCAAATTTTTCTATAAATTTTAAATATATAAAAAAGCTATAAAAAAGAGATTTTATATAACTGCAAAGAGAATTAGTTTTATATAACATAAAAGCTACTTATTTTAACAAAAGTAATTTTGTATTAAAGTTTAGCTATTTAATGAAGTTTCTTATACAACTACTATAAATATAGAGTCTAAAACAAAGATCCTTATACTTCTATTGCATCTGCAGTATCTAACTTTTATAGTCCTTGTACTTTACTACATCTGTAAAGTCTAACTAGTTAGGTCTTTGTACTGCTACTGCAGTCTTAGTACTAATTAATACAAAAATAATATCTTTACAATTATATAGTTTAACTTTGTTTATCAATATACCAAGCACTAGTCTATTGTTAAATTATACAAAAAATAGAGTAGAAGAAACAATAGAGCCATCTTTTTGTAAGACAAATGATAGTAAAGAAAAAAATAACCTCTCTCTATACTCTTGAATATATTGTATTTATAAACACTTTTTTTTGCCTTTTAATTTCAGCTATTACTAATTAACTAACAGTTCATTATTTAACAATTATATGTGATTATAATCTAACTAAGAAAAACTAAAATAATATAGTAATTATTACAAAAATAGCTAAAGTAACAAATTAGTAATCATGTATGATCTCTAAAATTAGTGTTATGAGAAAATTATAATCTGCACAAATATATAATCTAATTAGCTTTGAGATTTTTTTTGATTTAAATGCAAGTAAAACTATACACTTATATTTCTGGTATTTTCAGAATACTTACTCATTATCTAAAATCTTTTTGGTCATTTGATAAATTATCTAGCTCTTCAAAACTATATTACTGTTTTTAGATCTTTAGTCCAAAGGCAGTATTATAATTTTTAAAGTATTAAATAATTTACTGAGTAACTAAAAAATTTTAGATAATAAGCAGGTGTTCTAGTAATTATAATAATAGCTGTAATTATACAAAATTTTGGATATAATACCAATTTAAGTTTTGTTGACACAGAACAAAAAATGGTATAAATTCTAATTAAAATCTAGTTCAAGTTTGATTTAATAAAATAATAATTATTACTTTGAATTCATATACTCTATAAAAAAATTATTATTATATTCTGAAAATATTCAAGATTTTTATTTCAAAAAATTTTTAGACAATTTTTAGATTTTATATTCTAAAAATATACTAGAAAATAAACATTTTCTGAAATACTTATTTACGTTGATATTCTAGAACTAATTCAATTATTTGAAAAAATCTAATAATAACTAGATTGTATTATGATTATTTTTAAATAAAATATGAATAAAATAAATGGTTATTTTTTTTAAAATTTTATTATATTTATATTATAAAGTATAATTTTAAAATAAACTCTAACTATCTAGTCCTCTCTAATAAAGTTGCATATTATATAAAACAATAGCATTACAAAAAGAACAACATGCACAAAATAACAAATTTATCTAATAATTAAACCAACAATAGTGACTTTAAAATAACATAGCTAAACTGTAATAACTCCAATATAACAGTATAAAAGTACAAAATTCTTACCAATGATTCTCTAACAGCAACTTCAAAATTACAAAGTGCAAAATGTACAAAATCTATACTAATAATTTTTCAACTATGGTGATTTTAACACACAAACTATAAAAATACTATAGAAAGATCTATAAAAAAAATATTATTAGTAATCAGAAAAAAAAACAACAAAGAGAAAAGAATGAAACAGAAAAAAAAAAGTAATAAAACAGCAAAAAAAATAAATAAAACAAAAAGAGACTGTTGGCTAATATTGTTTAATGTGATCCAGTTTCTAAATAGATATCTTTTTATCTATCTCAACACTAATTCTATAGCCAAATCTCTCACTTTTTGTTGAAAATTAGTTTTGCCACTTTTTGACAAAATTTTCTCAAAAAAAGGAAAAAGAATGAGAGAAAAGGAAGGAAAGAAGAAAAAAATAAACAAAAGAGATGAAAAATTAAGCAAAAGAAAATGAAGAAGATAAAGAAATAAAATGAATGTGAAGAAACAAAAGAAAAGAGAAAAACAAAAGAAAAAGTGTGAAAGAAAAAAAGTGATAAAAGAAAAGGGATGAAGAAAAAGGAATGTGAGAAAAGAAAAAGAAATGAAAGAAAAGAAAAGGGACAAAAGAAAAGAAAAGAAACAAAGGTACAAAAAAAGGACAAAGAAAAAGAAAAGAAATGAAGAAAAAAAAGAAACAAAGGAAAAGAAAAAGATAAAGAAAAGAAAAAGATAAAGGAAAAGAAAAGGAACAAAGAAAAAGAAAAAGAATGAAGAAAAGGAATGGAAAAAAAGAAAAGGAACAAAAGAAAAGAAAAGGAACGAAGGAAAGAAAAGAAAAGAAACGAAGGCAAATAAAAATGAAAAAATATCTTATTAATGATCCTCCGGTGTGATCATACATTACACAAAGGTATGTTATCGATCGTGATATTTAAATAGCTCTCATAACTTTAACGTAATAACACTAAATAATCAACAAACCGGAATATTTTCGGAATACTCAAAATTTCATTTTTTTATAAATTTTAGCTTAGGAACATTTCCGGAGCAATGTCAATATCGATAAATTAATTTATATTATGCAAATTTCAGTTCGGAATATGATCGGGATGGGTTCGACTTGTTCGGAACAAAATCGGAATATATCTGTAAAAATTTTTTTATATGGATAGTGGGTATAAATTCGGGTTAAACTAGGGTAGAATTCTGGTTGAACTCTGGTTGAAAATGCTAGAATGGACAGACGCACAAACACGTACTCTAATCGAAGAACAAAGAAATAGAATTGTAGAATACAATAATCTCGGAAGAATTCGAAGCGTATTTTGGAATAGTATTGCAAATAGAATCAATCAAGAGCATAATACTAATTTTACTGATTATCATTGTAAAGAAAAAATTTCGAATCTTGTTCGGAATTATAATGTAAGTTCACACTATGCATACTTGGTTATTTTTTTTATCGAGATATTGGCTCATTTCGCTATTAACAAAAATTTAATCACCCGATGTGAATATATGTCAGGTAGTCGTCTAGCATAGGTGATCAGTGTTGGCAATTGGACAATTGGACAATCAACTAATGAATATCATTGGTTGGTCCAATTGTTCTAGTCCAATTTTCCCATAAATCATTTAATATCATTGGTTCATTTGATTTTCCAGTTGTCCAATTGCCAACACTGTAGGTGATACTTCATAATCTAGTGATTTGTTGTTTCTAAAAAGGGTGAAGGCGGATTTTTAAATTCAAGTAAATAAATTATTTATTCTGTATTTGTAATTAAAACATTAATTTAAATTATAAATATAATCTTCTTTCTGTAGTTATTTTTTTTAATTTTATATATATATTTATTTATTTGCGGTTACCCACACAGTTAACCGGCTTTAAAACGAAAACGCGAGCGAGCAAATCACTTTACTAAAGACTCCCGATAAGTCCGCCAGTCACACCCCACACTGTGTTATATGTACCGGTTTCCAGGCACGCCTGTAACGTTTCACCCTTGGAGTAATTTACAATCAGGGATAGGTTGTGGGTAGTATACCTGGTCTGAGACGATTCTCCTTCGTAATAGTAACTTGAATTGTATTGCGGTTAACATCATATACGGTGACCCCCATCGTTATGAACCCATTGGCATTAGTAATTACAAATTCGTCAGTGCAGACGATGCCATCATTGTGACCGTTGCTCCAACGCCTGATGTTATCGTTATGGACGCAATATGCATAGGGGGATTTATCATTGGCTATAAGATCCACGCAGGTTTTTCCTCGGGGCAGTCAACGTCGTTCGTCGCGATGACCCTGGGAATCGTGGACTCGCACACGGACCGAATCTTATCTTCGGTAAAGCAGAAGGAATACATCAAATTGGGGAATCGGTTATCCGGACATTGGGAAACACCCGTATGGCGTAGCAAGTGTGTGAATGCATGTAGGAACTTCACATGTTACACCTTCACAGAGCATGTGTGTACTTCCTTATAAATCTAGTACAATTTGATCCTCTAGACTGTGATCAATTTTAAAAAAATTTAGTTCAGATTATTTAAAAGCACAAACCAAAAGTGACTGTGCGTAAGTGCATTAACGAATGCCGTAACAAATCATAGTCAAAACATGATTTTCAGGCATAAATATTGGTGACCCGAAGTAAATTTGCATGCCTATTCACTGGATCGTTAGCATTTTCATTTTTTTTTGTTAGGATTTTTAATTGGGTTGATGAAATGATAATCACTGATCATCAATGATGAGAGCGAAAGAATTTGTTAATCGCTTCCAAATGCATAGCGATCACTGGATTATATTTTTGGGGTTATATTGAAAGGTGGATAAGCAATGAGACTACTATACATACGATTTACCTAAACAATTTTATGAAAGAATTAATATGCTCTCTCATTAATATCACTATCACCATGAATATAAAAGTGATCCAAATAGGTTGAAATTAATGAGAGACAACTGTATTACTAACTTTAAAAAAACATTAAAAATTGTTAATTTAGAATTTCACATTCTCATAGAGAACTAATAGTCAGAATAAAAGGTGTTATAAATAGGGTTTAAATGTGTTTTTTATTTTTTGAGTAAACTTTAATACTAAAATTTAAAATTAGTGCAATATTATAATAATTCAAATTGGTTGTTATTGAAGAATTTCTGTTATGAAAATAAGATATAAAAAATACTAGGTATTAGGCAATCAGTGATTTAAGTTCAATTGTTGGTAACAAAATATTTGCATATTTGATTATGTACTTGATAAGGTTTCATCAAATGTCGCCTGTGAAAATATTAAAAATATGCATTTATTAATAAATTCTATTAATTATATAAATTACAGAAGGTGGGTATAAATTTAAACAATAATAATTTATTGAATCAAATCAGTACATATAATGAGTTTATTATTATAGCACGTGAGTACAATTTTAAAAATATTAATTTATTATACAAGATAACTAATTATTTTATTATATTATAGGTAGTTATAGCAGTTGAAGAGTTCGAATTGCCAAAAAATCTTCAAGACCACTTGAGAAAAGCAATAAGCAATGTAAATAATAAGTCTTCAGAACTTTTAAACCACAAAGATATTGAAGAATATTATAAAAAAATTGACAAGCAACTTAATGAGTTTAAAGAGTTTGATAAAAAAGCTTTGAAGATCGATAATTTTATTCATATGTTTGATTCAGTAACATCATTAATTAAGGAATTGATGAATATGAATCTCAAAAGTTCTGGTGCTACCAAATGAAATAAACTTAATTGCTAAGATTGATCAAAATTTACTTAAATGGGTTGAAGATTATACTAAAATTGCTAGAAAATTTAATGCTAAGCAATGTTATGAAGGTCTTAGCATTTTCAATAAAAATAATAATCTTGTTCTCTTTAATATTCAAGAAGAATTATTGATGGAAGTTGATGATATTAAAAAACACTTAACTAAGAAGTCTAAAGAGTTGGGCAATATATTGTATTTAAATAAAGAGGATATTAAAAAGGTAAGAATTTGCAATCATTTTGATAATATTATATTTATATATTTATAAAATATTTCTTTATTTTACAAATATACTAGAAAATTGATAAAGGCTTTTATTATATTATTCAATTAAAATCAGTGTATGATTTAACTACTGAACTAGAATGTATAAAAAGTAGATTAAAGCTTTTTGATCCAATCTTTATTCAAAGAATATCAGGTTTATTTTACAATTTATATTTTGAAAATATTTGATGATAATTATTTACTTATTTAAATTTTTATTATACTATCACTATAGATTTTTGTAAAAAACTTACTTGTGAATTGAAGTTAAATAATGATTTAATAAAAATTTATAGAGAAGGTGAATTATATGTAAAAGATTTTTGTTTGAATTGTATTGTAGAAAATTTGCTAGAAATAAGCTGTTTAGTTAATAATTTTTGTAAACATATTATAACAAAAACATACGATAAAATTGAGTTTGAGAGAATGAAAAAAAAATTAAAAGAGGCAAAGAAGACAAAAGAGGCAAAGCATATTTAAATAAATGCTAGCTAATGACTAGTAGCCTCATTATCAAATTATATTACTAACAAAAAAGAAAGATGGCACATAAACATAGTTAAGTCACTTTTAAATGCACCATAATTATGAATTTAATATTGGTTATAAATTTAATATTATAAATAAACATAAGATTTATTAAGCAATTTTTCAGATATCAATCAATCAATCAAAATATAATAAAATTACGGCTGTCCTGTCCGTACCAAAGTACTTGATTGGTCAGAACTAAATCCTTACGTAAGTGTATGGCTCATGACTTTAATTAACAGATTCTGATCAAC